CTTTCCGAAAGCATGGACAGTTCCCCTCAAAACAGGGAAGCATTTTAGAATTAGGGGTCGGGTATTTCTCCATGGTACTGGTTATTCTTCCTACTTGGTGAAGCTGGCCTCTAGGAGGGTAATTTCAAAACATAACAGGAAGATGCATGTGGAGATGGAGACCGCCCTCAGACTCCTCTTTCTTTCTACCACTCAGGAGCTGATGAAAGGCTTAGCCTATATCTGCCATTCAGTCTCCTGGTTACTTTAAAGAATCTTCGTATTCAAAAAATGATAAAATGAAGAGTTGCAAGGATAGTACGAATAACTAACTTCTCTACACATTTCACCTATTGTGAACGTTTTGCCTCTATCATCTTTCTTTCTACAGGTATTTGCTTCTTTTCAGAACTATTTCAGAGTAAATTGCAGAAATCATGCCTCTTTACCCCTAAATAATTTTATGTTTATTTCCTAAGAACCAAGACATTCTCTTACCACAGTTCAAGTGTCAAATTCTGGAAATTTGACGCTGGCACAATCATACCCATTCTGTAGTCTGTGTTCTGTTATTTTTCCAGTGATGTTCTTCTCAACAGTGTTTATTCCTTCAGGTTCAGGATCCAGTCCAGGACAGTGCTTTGCATTTAGTCTTTCTTACTGTCAGTCATTTCCTAGGCCTTTGTCTTTGATGACCCTGATATGTCTTAAAGTAGAAGCCATTTGTTTCATGCATAATTCCCCAGTTTGGATGTGTCCAGTGTTTCCCTGAGATTGGAATCAGATTATGCATTTTTGGCAGGAATTCCACATAATGAGGGGTGTCCTCTGGGCTTCACTTCATAAGGCATATGAGCTCCATCCTATTATTGCCAACTTGAACTTTGATCACTTGATGAAGGTGGTGTCAGCTAGATTTTTCCACTGTGAAATTATCATTTCCCTCTTTGTAAAGTAATGAGTACTTTGTGGGGAGGTATTTTGAGATGATATAAATACTATCCTGTTTCTCATCAGATTTCAACCTGTTAGTTTTAGCATGCATTTTTGATGTTTGCCTGAATCAGTTATTGCTATGATGATTGCAAAATGGTGGTTTTTCCGTTATTTCTTCTACATTTAGTAATTGTCCTTCTTCTTCTTCTGTTTCTTTTTTTTATTTTATTTTTGAGATGAAGTCTCCCTCTGTCACCCAGGCTGGAGTGTAGTGGCATGATCTCGGCTCACTGCAACCTCTGCCTCCTGGGTGGAAATGATTCTCCTGCCTCAGCTTCCTGAGTAGCTGGGATTACAGGTGCACGCCACCATGCCAGGCTAATTTTTGTATTTTTAGTAGAGATGGTGTTTCCCTATGTTGGTCAGGCTGGTCTTGAACTACTGACTTCATGATCCACCCACTTCAGCCTTCCAAAGTGATGGGATTACAGGCATTAGCCACTACGCCCCGCTTCTTCTTCTGTTTCTTACAGAAGAAGGCCAATTTGTTTATTTGTCCATTTTTATTTGTTTATTGTTGATATAGACTCATGGATTCTTATTTTATTCAATGGGTTATAATCCATTACCATCAATATTATTTTGATACTTAAATTGTTCTGCATTTGGCCAGTGGGGGTATCTTCACTGCCCTCCTGTGCCCTTTGGAGAAGTCCTGTCATTTTTTTCTTTTGATAATACTTTCTTGCTGGCAGAAGAATATTCCAGGCTTATCTTGAAGTTATTTCTCCAAAGAGTTCTTTAAAAACTTTTTTTTAATAGAGGTGGGGTCTTGCTATGTTACCCAGACTAGTCTCAAACACCTCGGTTTCCCGAAGTGCTGAGATTACAGGCATGAGCTACCATGCCCGGCCTCCAACAAGCTCTAGTTTATTTTAGTGGAAAATAGTGTTGAGAAACCAGTATCTAGGCACTGCATAAGTCTTAAGGGTAGGATTCTAATGTTCACATAAAGAGGGAAGAGCTCAAAGATATGTTTTTGGACACATAACGCTATGTTTGGACACTGTGTTTATATTGATCTGCCCTTGTCCACACTGTCTGGACTGGCAGTTAAGCTTTTTAGTTTAACTTTTAGTTTTTGCAACCATATAGGATGTTCTGATATCAGAGCAAGTTCCCCCATATTATCTTCTAGATTTTTCTTGGCCCTATAAAAACATTCTTCTTTTAGATAAGTATTAGAATTATACATCCAGTTCAAAAAAAATGTTATTTTGAAAGATAATGAATTGAATTTCTTTTGCTTAGGGTAGAATTCATCTTTGTGTAAGATTGAGCCTTCCTGTTTAGGAATAAGAGATGATTTTATTTATTTTTTTAATAGATGTCAGTAAAAGCTTGTACTTTTCTTCACATAAATCTTATGTCTCTTATAACTGTTTAGTATAATTGTTTATAGTTTTGTGTTTGGGAATAGTATCTCTTTAACATTTCTTATATTATGAATTTACACATTCAGAAAATGCCTAAACCATGAATGCATACCACTGAATTTCCCTAAACTATCACGCAGATCAAGAAATAGAACCTAGCTGGCACCCTGGAGCTCCGTTTATGCCCTTTCCCTATCACAGCCTTCTCTGCCCTTCCTCTTCTCCTTTCCTTCCGAGCAAATTAAGGCAAATAAGCTGACATAGATGCTTTTGTTATTCCATGTAGTGAACCATGGCAGTTAAGCCAGAGAGATTTTTTTTCTGCCATGGAATCTAAAGAGGTGTTTACTGTGAGGACCTTTATGTAAGGCCCAAGGAACAGTATGATTGAGTATTATTAAGACTGCAGGCTCATTTTTTGTAAGTCTGTTTTTTACTGCTTCTATTCATGATTAAAGCAGAAATTATAATGTTAAATTAAAAATAGCTTTTCTGGCTGGGCACAGAGGCTCATGCCTATAATCCCAGTACTTTCAGAGGCCGAGGCTGGCGGATTACCTGAGGTCAGGAGTTCGGGACCAGCCTGACTAACATGGTGTAACCCCGTCTCTACTAAAAATACAAACATTATCTGGGTGTGGTGGCACACATCTGTAATCCCAGCTACTCCAGAGGCTTGAGGCTGGAGAATCTTCTGAACCTGGGAGGTGGTGATTGCAGCATCGATCTGAGATCTTGCTACTGCACTCAAGCCTGTGTGACAGAGTGAGACTCTGTCTCAAAAAATTTGTTTAGGTGTCAAAATAGTAGCTTTAGATTATTTAGCTTACTACGGAAGTTGGAAGCACTGTTGCAGTTCATCTTAATTTAATGAGGTTGCGGACATTCCTGCAGCTTCCACTACTATTCAGTACCTCTGAGCAAGTACATGAATAGCCTCTTCTCTTCCACCATCTCTTAAGTGTTGGTTTCTAGTTTTGTCCTTGGGCCTCTTCTACTGTGTACTTTGTCTCCGTTCTGTCTCATTTCTCCTCATTGTTTCAACGCCTACATTTATCCTCATCAAAGCCCACTTTTATTTCCTAGACCAGGTCTTTTTGATCTGTGATTCTCTCAAATTATTAAAATGAATGACTTTTTTTTTTTTTTTTTTGGAGATGGAGTTTCGCTCTTGTTACCCAGGCTGGAGTGCAATGGCGCGATCTCGGCTCACCGCAACCTCCGCCTCCTGGGTTCAAGCAATTCTCCTGCCTCAGCCTCCTGAGTAGCTGGGACTACAGACACGCACCACCATGCCCAGCTAATTTTTTTGTTGTTTTAGTAGAGACGGGGTTTCACCATGTTGACCAGGATGGTCTCGATCTCTTGACCTCGTGATCCACCCGCCTCGGCCCCCCAAAGTGCTGGGATTACAGGCTTGAGCCACCGCGCATGGCCGTCTTTTTTTTTTTTTTTTAGATGGAGTCTCACTCTGTTGCCAGGCTGGAGTGCAGTGGCGTGATCTCGGCTCACTGCAGTCTCTGCCTCCTGGGTTCAAGTGATTCCCCTGCCTTAGCCTCTGGAGTTGCTGGGATTACAGAAGCTCACCACACCTGGCTAATTTTGTATTTTTAGTAGAGACAGGGTGTCTCCATGTTGGTCAGGCTGGTCTCGAACTCCCGACCTCAGGTGATCCGCCTGCCTTGGCCTCCCAAAGTGCTGGAATTACAGGCGTGAGCCACTTCACTCAGCCTATGAATGACTTTTGACTAGGGCCATTGTACTTCTGGCTCACTGGATTCTTATTTCATTATTTTTTGAGAGGAGGTCTTACTCTGTTGCCCACGCTGGGGTGCAGTTGTGTGATCATAGCTCACTGAAGCCTCCAACACTTGGGCTCAAGCAATCCTCCCACCTCAGCCTCCTGAGTAGCTATAGTCATAGGCGCACACCACCATGCCTAGCTAATTTTTTAATTTTTATTTTTGGTAGAAATGGGGTCTTGCTGTGTTGCATAGGCTGGTCTTGAACTCCTGGGTTCAAGCTATACTCCAGTATTCCACCTTGGCCTTCTAGAGTACTGGGATCACAGGTGTGAGCCACCACATCTGCCACTTGCTGGGTTTTTAGAGATCAGAAATTTGACCAAAGTCTGGCCTAGGGAAACCTTTGAGGACTAGGAAGTACAGAGGAAAATTTTGGTCTATGGAAATTAATGATTATGCTATAAAATATGTTATATTCATTTTATTATTATACATATTACCATCAGTTTCTGTTTCATCTCTCTAATTGATATGAATACAGTCTTTATAGTTGTTTGTGCCCTTTGACAGATCATGTTAGTATGATGCTTTAAAGTGTTTATTCTAAAACCTTTTATCATTTCATCCATCTTTAATTATATGAAGTACTGGAGAGTGCTCACATTTTTACAAATAAGAGCATAATAATAATAAGCATTAAAAGCATTCTTACAAATAATAAGAGCATATAAGCTTTGTTATATAACAAGTCAGAGCTCCTTTTTATCTTCAGTTCTGTATCAATGAATAAATTTTTTTTCTGAAAAACTCAAATTTAAACATTGTAATTTTACAGTTCTGTTTAGATTATGTTGTTCGTTTTGTTTTAAGACATATACTATAACTGTTTTGGTTTTGCTTCTAGAAAAACTGATTGCTTATCAACGAGAATTTCTTGCTTTGAAAGAACGTCTTCGAATAGCTGAACATAGAATCTCACAGCGCTCTTCTGAATTAAATACCATTGTACAACAGTTCAAGCGTGTAGGAGCAGAAACAAATGGAAGTAAGGATGCATTGAATAAGTTTTCAGGTACAAACAGTATTTTTTGTATTAGAAAAAGATTATATTTTCAAACAGGCATGTGGAATATTTTCTTGAAAGACGTATCTGTTACCCTTTTCAACTTCTGTTACCCTCTCAGAGAGAAAAATCACCACACAAAACTTTCTCTTCAAGTAAATTATAAAAAATTTTTTTATTACCTGCTAAATTTGATTTTTAAGAGAGTCATATTAACCTAAATTGGTTGGGATTGTGGCTCATGCCTGTAATCCCAGCACTTTGGGAGGCCAAGGTAGGCAGATCATTTGAGGTCAGAAGTTCAAGACCAGCTTCGCCAACATGGTGAAACTCCATCCCTACTAAAAATATAAAAATTAGCTGGGCGTGGTGGCTTATGCCTATAGTCCCAGCTACTCAGGAGACTGAGGCAGGAGAATCACTTGAACCTGGGAGGCAGAGGTTGCAGTGAGCTGAGATGGTGCCACTGCATTCTAGCCTGACTGACAGAGTGAAACTCTGTCTCAAAAAAAAAAAAAGTTAAATTACAGTGGAATAAATTTTGTTGGCAGTAGTGTAGAATGTGCATCTTTTGAAAACATTCAAATGAGATTAAAATTTAACTTTTTGTAGATACATGTTTCTGTAGTGACTTATGTGTGGACTTCAGATGGTCTCTGAATCAATCTTTCAGCTATTTGAAACAATTAGTGCTCTTAAACCTGATTTATAATCAATAATACACATAGTTTCCTAGTGGATACTTTAAGAATATCTGGCCTGTTTCCTCTCTGAGAAATCCCGATCAGAGTAAGATGATGCAAATGTTCTTCTCTCTTTCTGTGCTCTTCTTTTTTTGGTAATTGAGAGCCTCCAGATTTGCATAATCTTTCTAGATGAGCATACTTTTTCATTTAGCTTCACCTGCTCTAAAAACACATGCATTCCTCTCATCTCCAGATTCACTGCCTCACCTTATTTATAAAGATGCATGCTCCTTCTCCTGCTGATAAACTTTGCATTACGTCACCCTGATGTTGAAACCCATTGACTGGTGTAGATAAAAAAATAAATCACCCATAAGCCTGATGCAAAGTGATTTCTACTAACATTTTTTTTCTTATAGTATTTTTTCCATGAATATTTTTCTTCAAAATTGTTATTGTGTATTATGGCCTGATTTTTACTCTTGGAATTATACTAAGAGCATTTTAAAACTATATCACTAAATAGTCTTCAAAATCCTATTTTTAGTGGCTGTGAATATGCCAGCTAATCATATACCATAATAGATTAAACATTTTTTCTGCAGTTATTCAAATGGGTTGTTTTCTCCCTAGTTTATAACTCTGATGAACCTATTTGTGTATAAATCAATCATATTTCTGGTAGCCTTTAAGTTATTTTCATTAGATTATGACTTTCTTAGAAACAGGATCTGTGTTTTGATGACTATTGATTTTTGAACACGTGGTACACTTGCTGAAATAAAATAGATAATCACCAGACATTTGTTGAATACATAGAAGCTAAATTCTTAAAAGGGAAATTACCGAGTAATAGGACAGAAATGTTTTAGAGTTTTTGATGCTGCTTTGAATAGCTGGAACATTTATCTTGTTATCGCCAATATTTAATATTATTAATCTGCTAATTTCATAGGTGGAGATTGATAGATATATTAAAATTTGTAATTGTTTCTTTATTCATATTAAACTTTAATTTTACATATGACAATCATTTGCATTTCTTTTGTGAATTTTTGGTTCTTCTCATGTTTTTAATGAACTTGAGGTTACAAATTCCTACTGCTAACTTCCTTGTTTCTAGGGTTAACTTCTAATTTAATGAAATTTTAAAACAATATTATTTATACTACCAAGTTTTTATTTCATATCATTAAACGCTTCATTGGTTCCTCTAATAAAAACAGAAACATCCTATGTGTAAAATGGAGTGAGAAAAAAAATGCAGCTATTTGAAAGCTGTGATCTGTGCTGTTTAAATTATTTTACTTGACGTTTTCAGAAAAAAAAAATCTTCATGTGAAATTTTGATAAAATGTAATGTATAAAGAAAGTGAATGGTGGGCATGGTGTCTCATGCCTGTAATCCCAGCACTTTGGGAGGCCAAGATAGAAGGATTGCTTAAGCCAGAAATTTGAGACCAGCCTGGGTAACATGGTGAGACCCCTGTCTCTACATTTTTTTAAAAAAAGTAGTTGACGTGGTAGCATGTGCCTACAGTCCCAGCTACCCAGGAGGCTGAGGTGGGGAGGATTGCTTGAGCCTGGTAGGTCAAGGTGACAGTGAACTGTGATTGTGCCAGTGGATACCAGACTGGGCTTCAGAGCAAGACCCTGTCTCAAAAAAAAAAAAAAAAAAAAAAAAAAAAAAAAAAAAAAAAAAGAAAAGGAAAAGAAGGAAAGTGAAAGTGATTGATGGTCACTGTACTTACTATTATTACGTTTTCATAAGTGGACAGCATATTTAAAGTCTGTCTGGCAAACTTGGGTTCTAACACATTATAGAGGTGAGTCCTTAGCATCCCTCCTTATGGTATTCTGGTTGGCCGTTTTGGCTTCCTTCAGCCATTTTTATCAACATCATGATCTGTGAGACTTTGGTTGTGAAAGTGTCCTTTTCATGTTAAATGAAGATCTCATTCACCAAAGCGTGAAACTAGGAAAGAAAATTCTTTAGTACTAGTTCTCATTAATTTTTACTGCTGTTTTTATAAAATCAGCAACTTCTATAAGGTAATTCTTGTGTATTAATTATACTTGTATGTTTCAGATAATACCCTAAAGCTGTTAAAGGAGTTAACAAGCAAAAAATCTCTTAAAGTGCCAAGTATTTATTATCATTTGCCTCATTTGTTGAAAAATGAAAGAAGTCTTCAACCTGCTGTACAGATTGGCAATGGAAGAACAGGAGGTATGTTTAATTTTTTTTTTATTGCAGTTGTACTACTGCTGTTAATTGTGTTTTAGACGATTATGTTGACCATCAGAAGTCTGGCAGGTCAAAAAATAAAAGTTCTTCATCCGTGCACGTCTGTTTGGGTCTTATTCTAAACTCCATGCTGAAAGGAGTTAGACATTTTCCTTCATAGACCAAAGTAATATTGCTGAAAGGGATCATGTGAAATCTAGTTCAGGCCCCATCCCAGATAGACAAATGTTGATACCTTTGTCATTTTTCTGTTTTAGAAATTTGGAATGTAGAGAGATGAATTTTTTTCCTTTTATCTTATTTCAAAATTAACAGCTCTTTTGGTCATGCCATGAAGGTTTGTCTTATGTCTTCCCCACTTTTTCGTACAGAGGTATAAGCAGATAGTAACTTTTATATAACTTTTTATGCAGTAGTAGAAATACTTTGATTTGCTTCTTTTTTCCTAATTTATCCAAAAGGTAATATATAGCTTATTTTCTCCTCTTGTCAGAGTCAACAGAACTTCTTCAATTTTCCTCATAGAAACTATTTACCTTTTTTAGAGACAAAGTTTTGCACTGTTGCCCCGGTTAGTGTGCGGTGGCTCGATCTCAGCTTGCTGCAACCACCGCCTCCCAGTTCAAGCAATTCTCCTTTGTCAGCCTCCTGACTAGCTGGGATTACAGGCATGCACCACCATACCCAGCTAATGTTTTGTATTTTTAGTAGAGATGAGGTTTCACTATGTTGGCCAGGCTGATCTAGAACTCCTGACCTCGTGAACCATCTGCCTTGGCCTCCCAAAGTGCTGAGATTACAGGTGTGAGCTACCACGCCCGGCCACCACTTTTGTTGTTGTTGTTGTTTTTTAAGCAACGAAAGCACAGATTTATTGAAACCGAAGTACACACCACAGAGTGGGAGCAGGCTTCAGCAAGTGGCCGAAGAGCCACTTACCACTCATACTTTTATTCCTCTTTTGTCTTTGTTAATCTTTTCTTTGTAGATTTTAAAATGCAGAGGGCAGAATATTATTTTCTTCTTCTGTAAATTTTTAACAAGTGATGAAATGATTACTTCATGGATAGCTAAATTCATTTTTGGGTTAGTGTTTTTGAAAAGCTGAGTCTACTTTTGATTCAATAGGATTCTTAAGTATTTTGCTGTCTTTTTGAGGGGATCACATCTTCTCATTGATTTATAAATGTAAGCTGTTGCATTCATCTTGTTTTAGTTCTGCTATCTTTCTATTTCATTAATCATTTGAAATGATACACTACCTTCCTTCTTCAGGAGGTGGAAACTCTTAAAATATCATATTAAGACAAACTCCTTCTTTCCTTTCTTTAATGATTCAAAAAATATTTATTGAAGCCAGGCATTCTGCAGGTGCCAAGTGTACAGAGACTAACAAGTTGTGTGGAGTCCTCTGTTTTTTCTTTTTAGAACATCGATTGTCAGTTATTCTTGACGCTGATCATATCTCACCCTTTAATAATCACTATTCCGGTAAGATGTCTTAAGTAATCCTGGGTTTGTTTGTTTAGGCTATTTCTTCATTCATAAGAATATCAAATGAAAAGAAATTAGAGGTATTTTTAAAGTCATTTAAAACTTCCAAGGTCTCTAATAGTTTCTTATTTTGTAAATGTGACATTCTTTTCCTTTTGAAGATATGTTATCCCATTTGTTTACCTGACATTATCCATTATAAATATAAAATCTTGGTCAACTAAATATCCAATGGTTAACATTCTTATAAAGCTGCCACTATTTTTGAAAGGTAAGAAAAACAGATACCTTGGTAGAAAAAAATGGATGGACAAATAACCCATATTTACGTTAAAAATTTTACTCCCTAACTCCGTAGGGAATGGCTCCTAATATTTTTAGTTACAGGACTCTTTGGATATCCTAGGAAAGCTGTCAGTCTCTACTTTGAAAAATGTCCATAGAAAATTTAATTTTGTTTATGGGATATAATTTCTGGGATTTTATGGAACCCCAGAACTTATCTAGGGCTTCATATTCAGAACTTCTGTTTCTTAGATAAAGAAAAGCTGCTTCTTGCTAAAAATTCTATTTTCCAGTGATCAGGCCGATTAATTAGGGAACAGCACTTAGAACAGCTAAGCCATCGTAAGGCTGAAGAGGAAGGACAGTGCTGCAGGTGGCTACTGACCCCAGGGGAGCAGCTTGGATTCTTACACCCAGAACAGAAAACTGCTGTCTCAGCCCCCAGCACCACATCCATATCCTCCCACCACATTTGCCAAGGCAGGCTGTGGCAAACAGACGCGGCCACTACAAACGGGTACAAGGGCGACTTCAGCAACGAGGAGTTGACAAATATTTAAGAAAATCAGTACTACAAATGACTTAATACTACTAAAGAAAATTGAGTTTGCAGAACAAACAGAATGAATATGATTTAAAAATAAAGCATCAACATATTTTAGAAATGAGGGAAGACAACTCGCCTATAACATAATAACTGACTATTATCAATGGATCTGTTAGAAATCTTTGTGCTTACAACTTCAGTGATTATATTTAAAAATTCCATATTGAGGGACTGATAATGGAATTTTAGCTAGACATAGCTAATGCTCAAATTAGTGAGCAGAAAGACCGAGCAGTGTATTTCTTCCAGAATGCAGCATAAATGCATGAAGAATGGAAGTAGACAAAAGTTTTAATGTCCATCTGGTTGTAATTTCAGAAGGAGTGAACAAAGAGAGTGACAAGTGGGAATTACCAGCTTGCAGAAGTAAATTTATTTGAGTTGAAGAAACATTCAGATCTTCAGAGTAAAGGGCCCATTTTGGGCAGAGCAAGATGGCTGAGAAAAGTCTCTCTCTGGGTTATCTACCAAAATGGCACCACTGCTTGGTAGAGGACAGCAGATAATTCTTGGAGTATTTGCTGCAATAAAAGTCCATGAACAGTTGCTATGGACTAGGCACCTTGCCAGATACTTCAGAACACAAAGTTAGATGTGGTTCCGAGTCTTGTGGAGCTTCAGTACAGTAAAGAAGACACGTGTTAGTCAAATAGTCAATTATACGAAAGGTGTATAATTACAACTTTAATTACTGATATAAAGGATGCTTTGAGAATGTTTAAGAGGGACTTTTGGCCTAATTAGGGAGTTTAAGGACCTCTGAAAAATTACGTTTGGCCTGAGGCTGATAGAATCTGTCATTTACTGGTGAAGATGGGTGTGTTAGTTTCCTATTGCAGTTATACCAAATTGCCACAAACTCACTGTGTTTAAAACAAAACAGAGATTTCTCATCTTAACAGTTTGGGAAGACAGAAGTTCTAAAACCAGGGTGTCAAGAGGGGTGTGTTCCTTCTGGAATCTCTAGGGGAGGATCCTTTTTTGTTTTTGCCTTTTCCACATTCCTTTGTGGCCTCTTACTTCATCTTCAAAGTATGGTATCTTCAAATTTCTCTAACTATAACCCTCTAGCTTCTGTTGTTCAATCTTCTTCTCTCACTCTGACCCTCCCTCCTTCCTCTTATAAAGACCCTTGTGATTATATTGGGCCCAGTAGGTAATCCAGAATAATTGCCCCATCTCAAGAACCTTGATCACATCCACAAAGTCCCATTTTGCGATGTAAGGTAATGTATTCACAGGTTCCAGGAATTAGGGCATGGACATCTTTGGGACACCATTATTCTCTCCATCACAATGGGAAAAAAAGAATATTCCAGAATATTGAAAGCACCACAAAAATCCTGTGATGGAAGGGAGTGTGGAATGTTGTAGAAAATGAAAAAAAGTCACTACAGTTGAAGTGTAGAATGAGGAGGTATGTGGAACAAGATGAAGCTAGATATATAAGTTGAGGCCAGACCATGTAGGGCCTCCTAGACCACTTATGGGATTTTGGTTTCTATCCTAAGAGCAGTAGGAAGCCATTGAAGGGTTTTCAATAGGACTTATTAAGAATGACTTGATAAGATTTGAATTTTACAGAGATCACATTTGCTGCAATGAGAAAAATAATTGAGGATGTGGGAAGAAGAATAGATACGAAAAACCAGATAGGCTGTTTCAGTGATCTACTGGAGAAAGGGTCAACTTGGATGAGGTAGTAGTGGTACGTAGTAGAGATGGGAAGAAGAATATGGATCTAGAGTTGTTTGGAATATACGGGAACGTTTCAGGAAGGACATAATCATGGCCTGGATTTGTGGACTGAGGTAGGGGAATGGTCAGAAGTGAACCCAGGGTTTCTGAATTGAGTGACTGGATGCATGGTGGGCTATTTAGTGAGATAGGAGACAGTAGATATTGTTTTGCATCATTGATTTGCAAGAGAAGTTATAAATTAAATTTGGATGTGATAATTTGGAGGTGATTTTGAGATATCACAGTGGAAATGTCAGGTAGGCAGTTGGATATTTAGATCTGGGACTCAAAGGAGAGATCTGAGTTAGATTTAATTTTATGAGTCATTGTTTGGGAGTAAGTGGTTGAAGACAAATGTATGAGATCTCCTACGGCCTAGGACTGAGACTTGGTTTTCCAACAGTTAATTTCCAGGGAAAGAGAAAGATGAACACAAGGAAGACAGAGACAGAGGAAGGGCAACTAGGCAGTAGAAGAAAAAAATGTATTGTCTTGGGATATGAGGAAAGAAATGAGGAATAAATGATTGAAGTCAAACAATAAGGAAACATGATAGGCTAAAAATATTTGGCTAGCAATGAACATTTTAAAAGGAGCATAATTTAGTTATAACAAGGTAGACCGAGTTACTGAAGATTGAGAATGCCAAGACTTTTCCTAGTTTTTTTTTTTTTTTTTACTTTAAAGGAAATAGAAAGTAGGATTTGAAAATTTCCCAGGAAAGTGGAAGAAAACTGAAATAATAACAGTTGATAGCTTTGTCAAATTACAAATACCATGAGGTAGGGGCCTTACCTATCTCATGGCTGTATTTCAAATTGTCTAGTACATAATAGATGTATTATATATGTACAAT